AAAAAGGTATTAGAAAAATTCTTTCAGTGAAAGAAACATCTATCCTTTGTCTCAGACTGGGGTAACCTTCATGTCTGTAGGTCTTTCACAACCCAAAACGAAGCACAAACAAAATGGCTGATCCCACCTGCTCCTCCCTTTGTTTAAACTGCAGCACCACACTCGGTCATCTTTAAGCTGCTATAGCACCCCTCCGAACAAACGACTGCTGAGTAAAAACCGTAAAAGGTATCTGAAAAATTATTTTTATCTAAGCTAAAGCTATATCTTGTCTTCAATTGGAGTAACTTTCATGGCTGTAGGTCATCTACAACCTGAATGGGAAGAGAAAGAATAAGAAAAACGGGTCCTCAGTCCTTAGCTTCTAACTGAGCTAGCTGCAGCAACACACTTTCACTCACCTTTAAGCTGCTAAAGCCCCCCTCCGAACAAATGACTGCTGAGTAAAAACCATAAATGATATCTGAAAAATTATTTTTATCTAAGCTACAGCTATATCTTTACTTCAATTAGAGTAACTTTCATGGCTGTAGGTCATCTACAACCTGAATGGGAAGAGAAAGAAAAAAAAAAACGTTTCCTCACACCTGAGCTTCTAATTGAGCTAGCTGCAGCAGGACACTGTCACCCAGCTTTCTGGTGCTTAAAATGTCCTCCGAACAAACGACTGCTGAGCAAAAACCGTATGAGTTATTCAAAAAATTCTTTCACCGTGAGCGTCAGCCATCCTTCGACTCCAACTATGCCAGCTTTGGTGTATGTGTGTCTTTCAGAACAATATTTATGACGAGTTTAAAACACATAATGTCATTCGTTTTTCTCCCCTCTGCTGTTCCAAAACCAATGAAAAACGGCTCTGATTTTCATCGACTTGAGGTCGGTCTGGAGGGTTTTTAAGGAAAAGTATTAATCCTACCGTAATTCCGAAGACATTGTGTGGGTCCAGAGATTTCAGTCTAAAAACTGACCAAAAATGGTGACTCTAGCTATAAATATGTGGCCGTGAGGGCGAGTTTAAAATGTTTTTGGGTCTTAAAAAAACGGCTGCCTCACACTCTAGCTTTTCAGTCTCTCCACTCTAGAAGGCTGGATTTTGCCAAAACTTTGTGGCGCTTGAGGTCTGATTATACAAAAACCGTAGCAGTTATCAACATGCCGTCTTCAGTTTTATGCAGACGAAGGATTTATCTACAAACTGAGCTTTAAACTGTTTTTCTACGTGAATGTATGCCAACACAGTGAAGCGCTGTTTTTTATGCTGTTTTTTTCCTCTCCCCATTCATTTCCTATGGGAATTTTTTGCGACGTTTTCGCTAATAATTCGCAAACCTTCGGACTAATGAGAAAGTTTTATACAAGCACGCATCGCCCCATTGGTCTCTACGCGTGTGCCAACTTTGGGCCCGATCCGACGAATGGTGCGTGACTAGTTACGCGCCGAAGTTTTTGGTGGCGAGGAGAACTATAAGCTATAATAAAAATAATACGCGGAATAAATATGTGAGATAGTAGTAGGTGGGCCATGCCTTCGGCATGTGGCCCCCCTAATAATACGCGGAATAAATATGTGAGATAGTAGTAGGTGGGCCATGCCTTCGGCATGTGGCCCCCCTAATAAATATGTGCAATAGTAATAGGTGGGCCATGCCTTCGGCATGTGGCCCCCCTAATAATACGCGGAATAAATATGTGCAATAGTAATAGGTGGGCCATGCCTTCGGCATGTGGCCCCCCTAATAATACGCGGAATAAATATGTGCAATAGTAATAGGTGGGCCATGCCTTCGGCATGTGGCCCCCCTAATAATACGCGGAATAAATATGTGCAATAGTAATAGGTGGGCCATGCCTTCGGCATGTGGCCCCCCTAATAAATATGTGCAATAGTAATAGGTGGGCCATGCCTTCGGCATGTGGCCCCCCTAATAATACGCGGAATAAATATGTGCAATAGTAATAGGTGGGCCATGCCTTCGGCATGTGGCCCCCCTAATAATACGCGGAATAAATATGTGCAATAGTAGTAGGTGGGCCATGCCTTCGGCATGTGGCCCCCCTAATAAATATGTGCAATAGTAATAGGTGGGCCATGCCTTCGGCATGTGGCCCCCCTAATTACTGGTTTTATATATTAATTTATTTATTTACTTTTGTTTTTTTGCTGAATTTTTTTGAATAAGATGAAATTGTCTAAATACATACACATACACACAAATAAGTCTAAATACACACACACATATATATATATATATATATATATATATATATATATATATATATATATATATATATATATATATATATATATATATATATAATTATTATTATTATTATTATTATTTTTTTTTTTTCTGTACTGAGATCTCTATGTTTCTACAGGTGTCTGTTGGAGCCATTTTTCCAGTATGGGTATTACTTCCCGCAATGCACAGATGACCACAGGCACTACAGATGCCTTCACCTTCCAGGCTCTTTCTAGTTCTTCCCTGAGGCATTAGTATTTTTCAAATTATTATTGTTCTTTTTTCCTGATGTTCCCATCATTTGAGATAGCTTCAATAATCGCTATGACTGTCTGTTTGCATCTGGAAGTCCCACGGAATCTTAGCTCTGTCATTTTCCATCATTTCTGGCCTTGGGAAAACATCTGAAGACAGATGTTTGTGCATCTAAGCGCAACATTCACATGTCATCTTAAGGCACTTTACAAAAAAAAAAAAAAAATATATATATATATATATATATATTTATTTTTTTTTTTTTCATTTTTGTAGAATATTCCACAAGTAATCCACAGAATATGTTTTTAGGATGCATAAAAAAAATAAATAAACGTAGAAGTCACTTTCAGGGAGCTATGGAAAGAGACCCTGTGTAGCCCATTCATTCTTTCTCCAGATTTTATCCTGTTAGACTGCTTGTACATCAGAACAATTGATCAGAAAACATATGGAAAAAAACTGCCACAGGAGGAAATCTCACCTCAAACCAACCTTGACTTATGAAAATCATGGAGAAAAAAGGTGTAGACGACACCAAGACATCTGCTCCTACCAGATGGGTGAAGCACTCTGACTGTGCTGTTTGATATGGGAAAAGTCATACTTGGGTGAGGTTAAATGTTTTACACTGAACACTTTTTTATGTTTCTTGACTCATTGATGCATAGCCTAGAGTACTAAACATTTTTGAAATTGTCTGTAGGCTAATGATAAAAAAAAAACAGGAGCAATAGGAGCAGTGTGAATAGGTTTAATATACATATTCCTAAAAATAAATTTTTATGAGTAGCAATTTATCTGCTTTGCAGCAAATATAAAGAAGAAAAAAGATTAAGAGATTACAATGATTGAGAGGGTAATTAATTCAGTTGCTTGTGTTTTTAAGGAAATGTGAAAATCAGAAATATCAACAGATGACAATTACGGATTAACAACATTTCTTTGTGTTCATGTGTTTGTTAAATGCAACGGAAATAATAAATAATGATAAATTGGATTTCCAATGCACTTCTAATCAGCAAGATCTCAAAGTGTTACAGAGTTAAAAGAAGTATAAACAAGTTTTGCATTGAATGTATACAAGTATATATAGAGTTATTTTTTTTTTTATTTTGGCAACATTTTCATTTACAAACAGTGTTTTAGTCAATACTCACATTTTCTATAACTGCATTAAGTGTTTTTATTGGCTATTAACCGTAATCCATAAAGTTAGAAGAAATAAACAATTAAAAATATCTCTGAAAGAATAAATGTCATGCTTTTTTGGATTTGAATCACTGAAAAGGATAAACTAATAAAACTTTAATTATCTAAGATCCCACAAAACAAATAAATGAAATTAAACACATTGATTCATCTATATTATTTTCTAGAAATTATTACAAAATTTGATAATTTGTTAATAGTAGGTTGAGATTGATTGTTCTTGATAAGTTTGTTCATTTAAAAATATATATATATTTATACATGCTGTATAGTGAATATCGTCAACATTTCCTTAACTTGACTGTAGCCAGAAAGAAATATACTTACAGAAGTTGAAAAAACAAAATCCATATATATCAATGTATTCCCAATGCTTTATTAAAACTTAGACCGTTATTTCAAAATGAAAATTAAATGCTTAAGCTTTGATTATTATTCTTATAGTTTTTTATACATATTTTTTTTTAAGTTAACCACAGTGGTTTGCAGTGGTCACAAGTTGTGTTTTGTTCTGGCTGAACGTTTTCTGAATACTATGTGATATATATCTGGAAATCTACAAATTTCTATAATCCGTTTCAATTTGTCATCTTTTCTGGGAAATAAGAATTCACCTCTTTATTTATGTTATCTAAAGCCAAGATCATCCTGTCTGTGTGCTTCCCTTTATGTTAACCTCAGTCTGTTCATTTATATTACACAAGCAAAAAGAAATGATCGACATTAATTCATTCACATTTAGAATTATCAAGGAAAAAAGAAAAATAAATCAGGGAATCTTCATCACACTCAAAACAATTTCAGGAAGAAGGAAAAAGCATCCGTGAAGTAACAGAAGCTGTTTCCACACAACCTTAGCCCTGAAAAGAAAAATGGCTCAGTCTTTCACTGCACTCGACATTTGTTGGGTTTCTTTGTTCGACCCAGTTCCTTCATTTCATTATCCACCTCAGACTTCAACGTGTTCCTCCTCTGCTGCTCCTCCCTCTTCAGCGCCTTTGATGCTCTCCGTTTCCTCCTCTTTGAGGCCTGTTTTGCTCTCCTAAACATCTTTTTAGTGTAGTGTCTACCATCGTTCCCCTGAATCATATCATCAATTTTTTCCAACAGCTGGCGGATTTGTTCATCATCTTTCACTTCGTTGTTGAAGACGTGATATCTGTTAGAGAAAGCCAAGACAAACTCTTCAAGGGCTGTGCTTTTTGAAATAAACTGCTCAATAGTTTGTTTCTTCAGTTTGTCGCCATGCGTGAACAGCAGTAATGAAAATCGTGCAACTTCTGTACCAAAGTTATTCAGAACTATCTTCATGGTTTCTTCCTCTTCCTTGGTAAACCTTCCCAGCTTCAGGACCATCAGAAAGACGTGAGGACCCGGAGCACTCATGGAGAGGCATTTTTCAATCTTCTTCAAAACGTTTTCCTCTTGGAAGTTGGTGTCGAAGAGCCCTGGTGTGTCAACTACCCTGACTTTTCTGCCCAACACCTCCCCATCTGCGCTCTTGCAGTCAAGTGTCCAGGAAGTTGGACATGCTTGCGACTGGAACTCATTTTTTCCCAGGATGGTGTTTCCTGAGGCGCTCTTCCCTCCTCCAGTCTTTCCCAGCATAACAATCCGGAGTGTGTCATCACTGTACTTCTTCTTAGATCCTGCAGACAAACACAGCAACAACTTTGATATATGCTGTTTACTTGAATATTCCTGTGTAAAAGCCTAAATTCCAAAACATCAGTGATATCAATTTTTATTTTATTTTCTCCTTCAAAAAACCTAAAGCAGTATAGATCTCAGCAAGATGGTATCGCTCCAATACGGATACGGACTTGTTGTCAGTGAATTTAGATTAATGGTTCCATCACTTATTGTAACTAGATATATAAAAGTTGGTTGCGCAAAATACTCAATGAAATTTTTTAAAAAGTTGGAAAATTTAGAAAGAAAATCAGTTAATATTCTGGCATTGTGTAAAGGCCTTAAACAGTACCACATTTAATTATTAAATAGTAGGCAATGAGGTAAAACATGTGGTGTTTTATGTGGTTTATGTGAATATCTGGTTTCAGATACTCAGAACACTAATTTTAACTACAGCCATTATTAAAAGTACATCATGCAGTCATGACATTAGATTAAATATCATATTGAATCCCATGTTTAGAAGAAAGAATGCTGAGATGACTGCTCAAATTGTCTGGTACAAATGTATAATGTACAAATGCATATGTTGTTTTTCAATGTACACATAGACTGGTTGTCGTCTTCTGTTTATCTGGGACTGGTTATGCAAAGATGTTTTTTTTTTTTTTAATTTGTTGAATAAAATAAGAGAGTTTTATTTGCATTTTTTCTGTTCTTTATTCTGAATAATATAACGTAACAATTTCTGTATACAATAGTAATGGAAAGGAAGGTGGTACTAAAATAATGACCAACAGATTTTACTTGGGTAACAAAACTCCCAACCAAAAAAGAAGGAATGTTATTTAGATTTACTCAATTGAGCATTGACTTTAACAATTTTATTGCTCAAAATATCATTTTCTTCTTACCTTACATTTAAATGTAAAAGAATCCCCATACACAACATGAAAACTATTATATAAAGCAGTATATTTGCATAGACGGTGCACGCCAATGGCCACATTGTAGTGTCTTTTTAGACAAGTAAATAAAAAAAAGATAAAAAAAAATATTTGTACCATTGCCTTGCAGGAATACAGAAGAATGCAGCATTTATTAAGACAGATAAATCTTTGCTCCATCAATCATGTTCATTTCATCCATAAAGAATGAAGTTGACAGTAAGGAAACTGTTAAAGATTACCACCCTAAGTACTTTTCCATTAATCAGGAACAGATTACAATACTTCTTGTGTTATTGCACAATACAGTTTTTGTTAATTGTTATTGCCAAAGTTCCAGCAGCAGCTCCAACTGCAGCTCCAGCAGCGATCCCAACAGCAATTCCGAGTGGACCCCCAATCACACCCAGCACGCCTCCAATGGCAGCCCCGCAGGTTGTAGCCATAGCGATTGTTGGTGCAGCAAGGAATGCGTTTGACTTCTCGGCTCGAGCACGAGCATCCTGTTGGTACTGAATAATCAGCTTGGACTCCTCTTTGCGGTAAACGCTGTCATTGTATTTGGCTCTGAGTTGCTCAAGCTCCCTCTTCTTCTGTTCTTCCATTTCCTTGAGTATTCGCTCCTTTTCCATCTCGATTGCAGCCTCTGCTCTTTCAAACATTACATTGGTGTAGTATCCTCCCCCATTTTCCGTTACCATCTTGTCAATCTTGTCTAAAAGATGGTAGATTTGCTTTGGATCTTTGACCTCGTTGTTGAAGACATGGTATCTGTTGTGGCACTTTTGAATGAGGGCCATCAGGTCTTTACTCTCAGAAACAAAGTTCTCAATGGTCTGATTCTTCAGCTGGTCTCCATGAGTAAACAGCACCATTGTGTACCTCTCAGCCTCTTCTCCAAAGGTGGCCTGGATCATCTTGACAGTATCCTTCTCCTCCTTGGTGAACCTGCCCAACTCGAGAACCACCAGGAAGGCGTGAGGACCAGGAGCAGACAGAGAGATGCACATCTTTATCTTCTTTAACACATCATCCTGAGTAAAGTTTGTGTCAAACAACCCTGGAGTGTCAATAACGGCCACATTCCAACCATTAACTACACCCCTGGCTTTATGGCAATCTGCAGTTAGAGAAGATGGGGACAGGTCAGATTCAAAAGCCTCCCTCCCCAGGATGGTGTTTCCTGCAGCACTCTTTCCAACTCCAGTCCTTCCAACCAGAACAAGCCTCCTCTCATTTGGATTTATGCCGCTCGTGAACCCTGTTGGATAGAAATATACCAGCTGTCATACAGTGCTGCACTGTTGGTGGCACGGTGCACACCCTAGATGGAAACCATCCATACTGAGACAAAACTCTATAGAATAAGATCTGTAATAGCATGTTTTACCTTGGGTTGTAAAAAACTCCCCTTTTTAGTTCCGATGATCCAACTTTAAGTAATTTATCCTAATTTCCATTAGGTTCAAACTTAAACTTTAAATTGGTAGCTACTAGACCTTGATTCTTTTCTGATTTAGCCATTCTGTGGTAGACTGCTGTGCCTACTGAGATCATTATCCGGTTTATGACCCTTTTTTAGCTTTTGGCAAAATGTCAGCTTTCAGGCCTGACATTTTGAGCTGGAATATTGTTTGAATACTTTGGCCTCAGCCTCTTAACTCCCTGACCCCAAATAGGGCTCTTTTTGTACCCCTGATGTCCACAAGCTCTTTATATCTCCCAGATTTTAACTCTTCTTATATCCAAAGGACAGTGCCTCAAAAGTCCATTTATTTTAGATGCAACTTTGTAATCATGTATCCAAATTATTTTAATGATAAGAGATGTTCCCCTCAACCATGTTAAGCAAACCATATTTGTTCATTCTATTATTGATTTTCCTGTCCTGCTAACAGAGGCCAGTAGAGTGTGAGATGGAGCCTTCAATGTTTTTCTGAACTTCTCAAAACATTGCACAATATAACCTTAAGGTAAATGTCCTGAGGCATCCACTGCTGGGAAGATTGCTATCAGTCTTAAATATTTTCTACTTGTGAACAATGACTGTCATAGCATAATGATGGGCTGTAAATAGTTTGCAATTCGCACTGTAATTTTTCGATAAGTGATAGATACCAATAGTTACCACACTATATTAATTGTTGAAGCTTTTCTAATTATTGCTTCAGTCTTAAAGAACTCCCTAACACTTCTGCTTTTGTGTTTGTATTTATCAGATAACCAATATATTTTCTATAGGACATGGCTGCAAACGTTCCTCTAGAATCCTAGGAAAGGGAATAAGTTGGAGTTTTCAATTTGGTTTCATATTTGTTTATTACAGTTTGACGTTTGATTTAAAATTATTGTTGAACCTATTAACACCAAATAGTTTTTTATAGTGCTTTTTTCCTCTATTTATAGATTACTTCTTCTTTTTATTGATTTTATTTCTTTAAACCAACTTGTTATGCCCACTTTAATGAAAACTGTTTTTAACCCAGAACAAGAAATTTTGATTTTATACGTACACTTTTAACCATTATGAATTATAAGTTTCTATGGCAAGTTTAAGGTCATGCCATCGCATCCCTATAGTATTTATTCTCATAATTATTTTAGATTTTTAAAGGCCTAGGCCTACTTGTTGTAACATAAGGTTTTGAAGTCGTTGCTAGAATTTCTGCTTGATTATCTTCCATTCAGAGATTTTAGAATCCAGGTCGTGTAACACCCTGGCTGAGCAGTGGTGATAAAAAATAAAATAAAATACAGGAAATATATATATCTATATATATATATATATATATATATATATATATAGATATATATATATTTATTTTATTTATTTATTTATTTATTTATTTATTTATTTATTTATTTATTTATTTATTTATTTTTCCCAGGAGACGTGAGATGGGTCCGTGTTCTTGCTTAACAGTAGTTTTCACCCTGGAACTGTTACATAGGTTCTGTCCAGCCAGATTCTTTTTGTAATTTCGTAACTAAAAGTTTGCTTTAAATTTTTTTTTTTTTTTTTTTTTTGGGGCTTCTGAAAAGGTTCACCACAGTTTCATATTTTCTTCCTTTTTAGATAATCATCATTAGGTGGTGTCCAAAAGGTTTACAAATGGCTATTTCAAGCCTTTCCAGAGTGACAGATATCCGTGACTGTGCTCTTTATCTATTCTTCATTCATATATGTCTGATGATGACATGATATTTTTACTTTGAAGATATTTTGGCCTACTTCAAGTTATCAGGTTCTTCAGATAACATAGTGGGAGATTCAGATTTCCCATCACACAGATTAGTTTCTCTTTAGTTAACTGTTAAATATCTTCATGCTAATGCCTAGAAATGGATAACAAATAAGGTGGATCAAAGTCCATTTTCTTAAAACTCCAGGTATAGATAGTGAATTCAGGATCTAACATGAAGGCGAATAATATTTATATTTAGGTAATGCTCTAAAACATTTAGTTTAAAAAATAAGCTCAATACATTTATATAAAATTAATGCTCTGAAAAATTTAGTTATAAAAAATAAAAAGAAAGTATTGCATATGTAAGGGAACAAAGAGTTTTTCATGGAACTGCATATCCTAATAGGTAAAAAAACATAACTTTGTTTCTGCGTTTTTTTGTAAAAGATTTTTGTGCAGCTAGTTTTTAATTTATGACTTTTTTGGAACCTAAAGAAATGCAAAATCATACTGCTGATATGCTCGGATTAAAACGATCTGAAATAAAACTAGAACAGAATGTCTTAATATATTCTTATTGTGATTTATAGAGTTTGTTGTTCACATTAATGTCTTATGAATTATTCTTTCTGCAGGGAAGAAACTTTAGAAAAAATGTAAGGCTTTTTTTTGTTCTGTGTGAATCATTGTCTGCTTATGTGTAATACACATGTTCAGCCTTTATTCCTCCAGGTGCCTTTCTTCAACCGTTGCCAAAAAAAAACACACAAAAACACATTGCTGTGTCATGCTTATGTCATGGTTTTATAGAGAGTTAGAATGTGTAAACTATTTTTGGCATCCGAAAGATAAACAGACGTATTTTTCTTTCAGTTTAAGGGTAAGAAAAAAAAAGAAAAAGAAACATATACATACATACATACATATATATATATATATATATATATATATATATATATATATATATATATATATATATATATATATATATATATATATATATATAAATGTATATGTAGTTATGTATAGGTGTGGACTTGTTTAGTACATTTTTGCTTTACAAGCTGATTGCTAAATTATCAGAAACAACATCCTAAGACGTGATATAAGGCAAAACTACTGAACAAATAGAGGATGAATTATTACAGTATCCTTTAGCAAAAAAAGAAAAAAATTAGCAGGAGTTTTAAACCCAACCAAGAACTACAAAAAAATCATAGCTTTTAACCCCTTTCTGGGCTCTTTAACTTAGCTCTAAACTTCAAACAACTACTGGATTTTTCAGTCTCAAACATTTAGACAGCAAACTAATGACCAAATCTATTGTGTCAATATAAACTTTTCCTCATGCTCTGCAGGTAAACCAGCAGCTGTCCGTGTTGGCCGAAAACATCTCAGACATAAGTAGTACATAGAGTTTATGATTTTCCACAAAAACAACAAGACTGATTTTCTCTAAATCCCAACAACTTCTTATAAGGTAGCGTACTGCTTAGATGGGCACATCTGAACCAAACCAGAGGCCACATTCTGAAGTCAAATATGTCAGCCTGAACTAAGAATAAACAAAAAACAACAAGTGCATTTTCTGATGGATCTCTTACCTGCGTAGTTTGCAGCAGACATGTTGAAAAGTCCCAGCAGCCTCCACTACTGAACTCTGTGTTTACAAGGACTCTGTCCTCCTGACAGCTGAGTTATCTTTGTCACCTCCAAAGGGTGTGTCCTCCCACTTTCAGGTCTTAAGCAAGCACAAGAATAACATTTAACAATCTAGCAAACAAACCAGCCCTCCCCCAACAGTAATTAGATTTCAATCAAATTAGAGCTCTAATTTCACACCTACAACCTGGGATATTTTCACCTCATGTCAGCTTAGACTGCACATAAACTGAGAAAAAGCATTGGCTCTTCAACCGAAACTGGATCAGTTGGTTTGTAGGGTTGAATGGGCCGAAACATCCCCTCCATTTTTTCAAACACAACATGAAAGTCAGGTGGAGCAGGTTTTGGAGACACTTTCAACTTTCTTCGTTGTAGGAGTAGAGACTCTAAGGGAGGCAGGGATTCTCTGAGGTTTGCAGACATTAACTTCTGCACAGCTCTTTTGTGCAAGGCAAGGCAATGTGAGGCAAGTTAATTTGTATTACACATTTCAGTAACAAGACAGTTTTATGTGCTGAACATTAACAAAACATAATAGGAAAACACACTTGGAAAAAAGTACATTGGCGTGGCATTAAAATAAATGAAAATGAATAATTAATATGATAAGATGCAAACGGCACTGATTCCCAAAGTTAGGGTTGGAAACCCATGTGGGGTCCTTGCAGGTTTTAATGACTAATGGAATTCAGCTATACAATAAAAAGAATTACGTGAAGCACGTTTATGTAAAATGCTTAATGATGAAAAATGTCACTTCAAAATAAACAGTTATTGCAGTTTGTAGAAGTATTTCATCCATGATTTACTGATTTTTGTGGAAATGCTCATATAATGCTCCAATAATTTCGGTCATCAGTTGGCCGTGGTGTTATTGTGTTGATCAACAGCTGAAATGTTTTGGAACCCATGCTCTGCAGCATTTCAGTCAAGCTGAGATCCTAACCATGTCGTCATTATTTGCTTCACCTTCGGCCTTTTGGTTTTAGATCAAGCTGTTTGGTTCAAGCTTAAGAAACCTCTGGAGATTATAGACACCAAATATGCTCTGAAGGGTTTTTTCCACTGTTCTGTTGGTTGGTAACATGATGGTGCATATTTCAGCTACAGAAAGTATGCAGTGAAACCTGTTTCTCTTGTCTTCTATTGTTTTCCAAAGCAGTAACATACACATAAAAGTTACATCAGAATGAGCATTGCTTTTGAAAAACATCTACATCTAGATCATTGAAATTAAGACTGTTGAACTGCTGGTAGTATTTCCTTCAGGTTGGCCAAACCACAAGAAAGAGAAAATATTAAAGTGTAGAGCCATAGAAACTTCTATGTGCAACAGTTGTTCTTCTAACTGCCTGCCATCTTGAGGTGTTAAAATCAGTTTAGAGCCGTTTTGCGCAGATTAGATATGACCCAGTACCTACAACTGGCCACATGGTGTCAGTATTTACTTGGGATCTAATATGAGACAATGTGTCGCGTTAGTGTAACAGTTTGTAGATTAAGATAAGATTTTGCACATGAGAAACGTTTGAAATCTTGCATTTGTTATAGAGAAAATAAACACAAGATCAATCTCCAACATATAAACAGAACTTTGAATGACAGAAAGGAAATTCTTGCTGCACCAGGAAATGTTTGCAACCAGTGTCTTGCAGATGTGGAATCAGGCAGTAAGGAGTTATTCTGTATTTAAGAGTTTTCTATGTGTTAGATATTGCTGTTCTCCTTTGATCTCTCTATCTATCTCTTCTCTCCTTCTTTCTCGCCTTCCTTTCTGTTTCCGTATGTATAAAATGTTCTTTTCTTTCCCAAAGCCGCTTCCAATAAAGTTTTATACACACATTGTCCACTTGTGAAAGCAAATCTGTTGGGAAATGCCTGGCAAACACGGCAGGCGTGTTAAAAATATATAGATAAATGTTTACATTATAATTATTATAGGTTTTAGGAGTTTAAAATGTTATTTCATTTACTCTTTTCATTAAATACTTTACTGTATATATGAATTATTTAAAAAGAGGTTCCCCATCACAATTTTCTGCATTTGCAACCAATCAAATCAGTTAAGTTCAATTTTTCCATAATGTAATTCACAGCAAAGGTCATATCAAGTCACTTTAAATGAAAATCAGACTCAGTTCACATATTGAACATATAATCTAAGGATAGATTCGGGTGATACATATGCACCTGTGGATACTGGGTGAATCATCAGTCATGTCATCTTTTACAGAATTAATTTACCCTGGAGATTTTATCCCCAGTGGAAATCAGATCAGCATGATGAAAGCAATCTAAATGCTGATGGTGTCCTCCTTGCAAAGCCGCTACTCATTGTAATAAACGTTTACTTACTGATGACTTAAAGCAGAAAATTATTTGAATTTAAAGTCCCAACTATGAAAAAAAAATCCCTCCATGGTTTCAGAGTGAACATTGTTTGAGAAGCAGCCAGTTATAATCATGAATCATTAGCATACTGTGACATTTCAGAGCTATTGGTGTGTGTTGGGGCACCTGTCGGGAAACTGAAGGCTTTCAGACTCACCTTTCACTGTGATTTGTTGGGCTTTTTTTTTTTATCTACACCTCCATGTTGCCTTTGTTTCTTTTTTCCTTTAAACACTTCTTCTTACAGCAAGTTATTCTAATGTCAAATGCAGCTCACATGTCAGAAAAAGCTGACGAGATGATTGGCTGAAGTTTCATTAGTGAATTCAACCAATTCCAGCTGGTTTAATTCGCCTCTTTTATATTTGTCTTTTGCCTGCAGGAGACCTGATGGAAGTACAAAAGGAGCTGCTGGATAATCTGTACATTTAGAAATGAATCAATCATTTCAGTGCAGACTGGGAGTTAAAAACACCCCCACAGCATGTTGCTCCCAGCACTGTGCTTCACTGGGAGCCTAGTCTTCAAAAAAGTTGGCTTAGTTTTACCTAAATATTAAGGACTTTTAGAAGCAGACGTTTTACTTGCATAACACACCTCATAAAATGAGTTCTATACATGTCATGCTGTATAGCAGCAGATCTTTTCTTGGTAGTGTATCAGTCAACCACCTGATGAGAAGCCTGGTAAGGAGGGGCTGACTGATGCACTGTTCCCTCTGGGACGATGCCAGGGAGGTGATATGCCTTCTGAGGATGGGAGGTTTAAACACATGAATGTTGATTCAACCTAATGTTCTCATGTCTGAGAGCTCTGCTAAATAAAGGGATTAACAAACTACAAAAAGTAACATTTTGCATCTTAAAAAACAAATATACCTTTGATTATCGCCGTATAGGCTAAATGATCGGAGCATGGCCAGTGTCCGGCCTTAACTGTTCAACACTTCTACATCCCCTTCCTAATCATCATCCTCATAAGTCTTCATTATCCTTCCAGATTGTTCTAATCCAATTTATCTCTAATTTAAAACACCTTGAGTCTAACTTATCCACCTCAATTTCCTCTCTCTAAAATGTATGCCTCAATCATGGACATTCTTATCCTTTTGAGTCTTTGAGTGTTTTACAAATCCTCATCCTTCACTAAAACCATGTTCATTCCTCTTTACAGACACTGACCATCATATTCATATTTCTAATTTTGCTGTATGACACCCTACTTATTTTCCTGATTTTCTTTTGTGGCTCCCTTCAAAAAAGTTAAAAAACAATCCACTGGACTTTGTTTCCAAGTTTGAAGACATTTCACTTCCCATCCAGGAAGCTTTTTTAATTCAAAATGTCAGAAATAGTGTTGAGTTTGGGGTTTGTACAATGGACCAAAAACAAAGTCTTGTTTTGGCATAAAAAACATGCAAATTGAACCAGACGTCCACATTTCCTGTTAGACTAATTGTCCTCCTCCTTCAGTACAAACCTTTTTTCCTCTTTGTCCCTTTTTTCAGGCCTTTAAAATCATGATCTTCCTTTTTTTCCCTCTTTAAAATAAGGGTTTACCCACATAATTTTCTTTATTACAGTTCTTTTTCACTTCCCTTGTGGTCCTCATTTCTTTGTAACGATAATTTTAGCCACATCCTCCCCATGGCTTGTTCTGAGTCTATTTTACCGCACTAGTGCTCCTTCCCTTGCTAGTTTTATCATCCTTTAATCACACTCAGAATGGTAATCTACCATATCTTCCTCATCTCTCAGAAATTATCTGAGTAATATTTTCCTTTTTTTGTTTCCCTCTCATCTCAGTCATCCACTTCACCAGTCTTTAAACCCTTCTTTCATTTCACTCATATATCAATTTTTTGATCTTTAAAATTAATTTAGCTTTAGAGTTAATGGATAAATCCATCCATCCATTATCTGACACGCTTGTCCCAATTGGGGTCGCAAGGGGTGCTGGTGCCTATCTCTAGCAGTCAATAGGAGAGAGGCGGGGTACACCCTGGACAAGTCGCCAGTCCATCACAGGGCAACACAGAGACACACAGGACAAACAGCCATTCATGCACACACTCAGACCTACTGTAAGGAATATTTAGAGAAGCCAATTAACCTAACAGTCATGCTTTTGGACTGCAGGAGGAAGTCGGAGTATCCAGAGAGAACCCACACCTGCTCAGGGAGAACATGCAAACTCCATGCTGAAAGACCCCAGGCCAGGAATTGAACTCAGAACTTTCTTGCTGCAAGGTAGCAGTGCTACCCACCATGCCACTGAGCAGCCCTAATGGATAACTGCGTTTGCAATTTAGCTTATGGCATAAACTTCTACAAATGAATCAATATATATAAAACAAAAATAAATAATACATTTATTTCATAGTTTTATAAATACAAACCCCCACACTTGTCAAACGGGCCCAACAATGTATTAAAAACCAGAGCGCACACACACTTGAGATAATAAGCGATTATGAACCATGCTGGCGTTAGTTTACACCTTCAACTTTTTCTAATCTTCAAGAACTAGGGTATGGAGAACAGGACCCTTGTAAACAGGAGATAAAGAGAAATACCACCAATGGCTTTAGAATAAACTGTGAATTACATACACAAATCTCATCTCCTTTGTGACAAATATCTTCTGACATATATTTAAAATTTAGAAACCCCAACTGCAAAATACTGTTTAAGAAAAAAAAACATTGTCAAAATATGTGGACCCCCTGAGATAAGGGCTGTGTATAGTCCCTCAGCAGTATGTCGCAATTAGCTTGTCGCAGGTATGTCACAGATATTTTTGATGTATGCCCATTTTTGAAGCGTGGT